GAGGTGCAGGACACAGGACCAAGGAACAGTATGCAGGATCAAGGAGCCAGAATCACAGGGAACCAGGAACCGGGAAAAACAGGAGACAAGAGACAATGATCTGGCAAGGAGTGAGGGGAGAAACCAAACTATATAGGTGCTAAACAAGGACCAGGTGAAGTGCTTAACGAAAAGTTATTAGGAACAGTGCCATACAAAGATAGTGGTGAATGTGGGTACTGCCTGAGGGCAAATCAACTAAGGAGTGTCGTGACAACTGGTTCATGGATTGCAGGACACAACTTACAAGGAAAGGTTAAAGGAACTTAACATCTATAGCTTAGAGGAAAGACGAGACAGGGGGGATATGATAGAAACATTTAAAAACATAAAGGGAATCAACAGAGTAAAAGAGGAGACTATATTTAAAAGAAGGAGAACTACCACAACAAGAGGACATAGTCTTAAATTAGAGGGACAAAGGTTTAAAAATAATATCAGGAAGTATTACTTTACTGAGAGGGTAGTAGATGCATGGAATAGCCTTCCAGCTGAAGTGGTAGAGGTTAATACAGTGAGGGAGTTTAAGCATGCGTGGGATAGGCATAAGGCTACCCTAGACTTAAGATAAGGCCAGGGACTAATTAAAAGTATTTTGAAATATTGGGCAGACTAGATGGGCCGAATGGTTCTTATCTGCCGTCACATTCTATGTTTCTATATTTCTATGTAGTAACCCCAAGCCCATAGCCCTATACGAGACCCTTTCACCCTCTGGTATAATTCGAATTCTGTATGTCCACCCATTAACTTTGTTACTTTCTTTTATTTATTATTATTTTGTAGCATGAGTTATTGTTAGACTACTCATCCCCTACCTCTGTAGAGATCCGTTTCAAGGATTATCTAGCAAAGGACAGACTAACCGGTATGAAATCACTATGAACAAAACATACTTGATAAGCTGTTTACTCTAGTAATTGCCCATTAGCAACCAATTTGTTCTGCTGTAACTCCCCCCTAGCTGTTGGAGATATTTATCCAAATAAGCCTGTTAGCAGACTAACCAATTTTACCCTCCTGTATGGTCCACATAGGCTCAGGTGACAGGGCGTGTATGTGGAGTAGCTGTATAAATTAATTGCATAAGGTAATTATTTACAGAAGAAAATTATATAAAATAATTCAATAAGGTAATAAGGTGCAAAAACAAAGTCTCTTACCACAAGGCTTGCTCAAAAACAGTCCTCCAAAACATACTTTCAACCACTCCTGACTGGTGCGCATAATGTCAGAGATCCCACACAATGCTATTCTCTTTGCACTCTGAGATGATGTTTACTTCTGATTCATATTTGGTTGGTGCCTTGTTGGAACTGAATGTTCTGTTGAGACAATAGGATCATACCTTCCTCCTTTGAAAAGATTACTCTAGTCACTCGATTCTGTGCAGTATTAGCATGGTGGGGAACCCCCACCTGTAGATGACTTTAGCATCCTAAAGATTCTGAGTAATCAGATTGAGGTCTCTGCACTTAGCCAAGGTAGCAGGTGAGAGATCTGTGTATAGTTGAATTTGATGGGTAGCAGGTGAGAGATCTGTGTATAGTTGAATTTGATGGTACTGGTAAGGCAGCTCAGGCTGTTCTCTGACTGCCCTCATAGTTTGCTTCTTCACAGTACAAAAATGAACTCGGACTATAACATCTTTCGGGGTTGCATGTGGCAGATGCTTCGGTCATGGCAGTTATATGTCCTGTCTAGAAGCAAGTCTTTGGGCTCTGCGGTTGGTAAAAGCTTATAAAAATATGATGTGATAAAGTCAAGGAGTTGTTGTGGATCAAACCAAGTGTTTGTTTATTTGAGTACCTGCTCCCTTCCAAATTAGTAAAATAAATGCGTGCACGCTTCTGAAGTAAATCGCAATGAAACACAGGTATCAGGTTAATGAAGAACTTCTGATTGTTTTAATCAGGGGGCGGCAAGCCCCTTATAAAGGCAAAAATACATCATATGCAAAAATGTAGATAACAGAGAGAATACATCTTCAACTTGTTAGGTGTTAAGTGTCTTATCTAATGCACATCCTATGAGGCGTGATGTCACCATCATGCTACTGAATATCTAGATCTGTCCCTAAGAGGCTGCAGCACATCTGTCTAACAAGCCTTGCAACTCTTTTGATGCTGCGCATAAGACGGGCAGTGGCTTGTCCACTACCCCCCTCGCTACAGACTTTACCCGTAAAGACAGACACTATCCCTACCATTCCTAAAAGGAAGTAACTTTGTGAGTGGACAGTCATAGTCTTTGTCACCTATGTCTTGGTGAATGAAGGTCGGGGTGGCCTGATCTGCAGTCTTCTGTAAGCACTTTTTAATACAAGGTAGCACGCAACAGACAATGAGAGCAAGGATTACCAACATTATTAGGACAGCCACGCCTATCTGGGCCAAAACTTTCTGTCAACCGGTCATCCATCCAAACCATCTTTCCCATGGATATGTGACCCCAGAATCCCTTTTCAACTCTTCAGAGAGATTCTCTAGCTTCTCTATTGCCAGTGTCACCTTTCCATTAGGGCCTGTGTTATCTGGGATGAAGGTACAACAGGTCATGGTTTCAGGTAGTATTTTACATACTCCCCCTTTTTCTGCCAGAATCATATCTAAGGCCATCCTGTTCTGGAAGGTCATCTGGGAAGTAGCTTGTAATTGCTCAGCCAGCCCTTGAAGGGCATCCCTAGTGTAATTAACAAACTGCTGTGGATTATAATAGATATAATTAATCCAGTTCAAATTCTTATTAGCCGTGATGATTGGAAGGATAGTTTCGAATCCCGCTGCAACTTCGTCTCTTGCATTGAATTCGTTCGGTAACCCCCTTGGCACCACTATGGCATCTATATATATGTGTGGGTCAAAACTGCCCATTACAAGGGTACTTCTCTTGATTCTAAAATATGAATGTGGTGTGTCAGGAGTACCTTGGTGATTGTCAGATATTATGTGTATGGACACAATAACCTTAGCTTGGGTACATTCTCCCCACCATACATCTTCCAACCTTGACCGAAGTTACATATCCCCACACAACGAATATATGTCTCCTAAGGACCTAATGTGTTTTTGTAACAAGGCAAGTGGGACTGTTCTATATGTAGCACAATAGCCATGAGTGAAATTACCCAGAAATCTGCCTATCCCCTTGCAAATGCCGTAGCAGGTGTAGTTTCCCAGATATACAGTAATACCCTCGGCTGGCTTAGCACTCTTAGTGATCATAGGATATTCCTTCTTCCATGACTCACACGCTGACCAATTAGTTCTGTAATAGGCATAGAAGCTTAAGAAACATGTCTCAATGTCAAGGGGTAAGTTTAAGGTTGCAGTGCCTACATGGGGTCGGGCTCCTCCACAGACATAGCAGTTAGTTTTCATACTAGTTACTTGTGACGTTCAATCCCTTTACACTATTATAGCTTGACATCCTATTTCATGGGGAATAATAATGTAAAGGGATTGAACGTTACAAGTAACTAGTATGAAGTTACTAACTTCATACTAGTTACTTGTGACGTTCAATCCCTTTACACTATTATTCCCCATGAAATAGGATGTCAAGCTATAAAAGAAATTTTAACCCTTGAAGCAAAAATTCCTGCTACCCTAATTAATTTTATAATAGAAGGTATCAATATAATCCTTAAAAATAACTATTTTTGGTTTTTAGATTCGTTTTTTATTCTTCTCTACGATATACAGTTATACAGAGAGCACTATCTGGCTGTTTCTGCTTTCTTTGAGTTTTGGATACCCTGACGAACCCACAATACATCCCATAAGCGGGGATTATACCGCTGTGTGCGCTATACCCTAGAGCTGGACCGAAGCTCTGAAAATTGTGAGTTCGTTATCATTATTTGAATTTTACTTCATTTGAACCATACATTCTGCACCATCGTTTGTTCTTTTTATATATTACCCGAAGATCGCGTTCCTGTATCCTAGGACCACAGAGAGGACACATTGTTTAGGTTGGACTTTTTATCTTCAATAATTATTATTATTATTGGGATTGGACATTGTCTATCTTGGCGCAGCCCTCCTTTTATATTTTGCTTTTATCCTGTGCTGCGAAGACTGCTCAAAGACAGGAAGGGCCCCCTCTTGTTATGGGGTCTAGTCGGCATGAGTAGTAGCCAATGGGACTGAGTGAGGACTCCAGAGGCATGACCCAACCTTTCAGACATGAAACAGCTTGAAGGGTTTCCTATAATCGGGAAGGCCGAGGGCGGGCGCAGAGGAGACATCACGTTGCAAAGCAAAGAAGCTGGACAAGGCTTCAGGGGATAGAGAAAATGGTTCTGTCTTCAGGGCATCATAGAGTGGCTGCATCAGGGTGGAGGCCTGTGGAATCCAGGGCCTGCAGTAAGAGATGAGGCCCAGGAAGGCATGAAGGGGTTTATGGGTTGTGGGTGGGCAGATAGCTTGGATACCCCACACCCGGTCCCGGGTGAGGTGGCAGGTGCCATGGGAGAGGCAATGTACCAAGAAGACCACGGAGGGCCAGCACCATTGCAGCTTCTTCTTGGAGGCCTTACATCCTTGTTTAGCAAGGTAGCAAAGTAGATCTTCTGAAGTACGTTCAGCCGTGGAGCAGGAGGTCATCCACATATTGAAGGAGAACCACATCCATGTGAGTCTTTTGCCAGGAGTCCAGAATAGAAGCCATAGCTTTAGCAAACTGACTTGGTGAGTTTTGTGCTCCTTGAGGCATGACAGTCCAGGTGTATTGCTGACGGTCATGAGTGAATGCAAACAGATATTGACAGGAAGCGTGTAGAGGAACACTGAAGAAGGCATTAGCCAAATCAACCACAGTAATATACTTTGCCGTAGGTGGAACTCCTGACAGGAGAGTATGAGGGTTAGGTACAATAGGGGTGTCTAGAACGGTTGCATCGTTGTTAGCTCTGAGGTCTTGGACCATCCTGTACTTTTCTGGTTCACCCTTTTCAGTCTTCTTCTTCACAGGGAATAGGGGAGTGTTGCAGGGAGATTCACATTTGACCAGAGCACCTTTAGATAATAGACTTTCAACTTGTTTGTAGATAGGAAGGGACTGGGCAGGCCTCAGAGGATATTGCGGTTTATGGGGTGGATTGACACCTTGGAGTAATTTCACCATGACAGGGGGGACTTGGAGACGTCCAATGTCATCTGGGCCGGTGGGCCACAACCTGGCAGGAATTCTGTCAAAGGCACTGGGGGGATCATCTAGGACCCTTACATCCATTTTTGGAGACTCCATATGGAGTAGGAGGGGTATGGAGCAGAGGGCTGAAGTGTCAGGGGGAGGACAATTGTATCTAGCTGTCTGGGGTAAAAGAGATAGAGGCTTGGAGATGGGAGAGGACATCTGCTCCTAACAAGTTAATTGGGCAGGTAGAGGAAACCACAAAACGGGCCAGGAGGTCTGGGTAGGTGCCCACTTGTAAAGGCTTAGTTAGTGGGCTACTCCGGGGAGTGCCATCTACACCTACACATGAAACATTAATATTGGAGAGGAAAGAGGAGTCAGGCAGGTCTTGTTCTCTAAGTATGCTTCGGGCTGCCCCTGTGTCAACTAAAAAGGTGGTTGGGTGGCCTTCCACAGACAGGACCCCTGTAGACACTGCCATGACAGGGGTGGGTGACACAGGTTTTACAGTTACCTATTGTACAAGATCAAGATGGGCACAGTCTGGGCCAGTGTAAGGGTGGGAGGTGGTGGATATTGGACAGCAGGCTGGCTGGGTGGGGAAGGGGAATAACCGGCAGTAGGATAACTGGCAGCGGGGTGAGGAGCTACAGGGTAGCTGGGGGCTGAGAACTGGGAATAACCTTCCGCGGGGTGGGGCTTCCTCACATCCCGCATGAACTGTCTAGGGGCCCTAGGGGCTGGACAGTCTCTCCTGAAATGACCAGATTGACCACAGTTAAAACACCCTCTCTGCGATTGTTGCTGCATAGGAGGCTGACCCATAGTATGACTTAGGGCCTGGCTCTCAGGGAGGCTTGAAGGTTGGCGTGGGTGCACAGGGCGAGAGAACATGAGAGGGGCTGGCTTCCTATGTGGGGGCAGTTGGGAGGACTCTAGGCCCTTTGCAACCAGCAGGAGGGTATCCAGAGGAATAATTCTGTACTCAGGGCGGACCAGGATTAGGCCTTTTTGAATGGATTCCTTAAGGCCTGCCATGAAGGCTGCAGAGAGCATTTGGGTATGGGCCTTGTTGTATAAACTGAAACACAGGTCAGAGAAGATTTGGGTCAACCTGGAGTGGTACTTCTCCACAGATTCTGTCTTATCCTGGATTACATCGTTAATACAGGTAGCCTGATCAGCTAATTTATCTTGAGCCCACAGCTTAAGTTGTTCACAGAATTCAACCCCGGAGGCAAAGTCAGACTCATTAATGAGTCGGGCATTGGAGAAGCTTCTCTCCATAATGGGCCAATAGACATCGCCTGCTTTAATTTCACAGAGGGCTAAACAAATCACGCCATGCTGCAGAATAGGTCTTTCGGATCTGGGCAATCCTTCGGTAAAAGGGCATGGGCTGTTTCTCTGGATCTGGGAGAGAGCCCACCAGAGTTGCGGCCTGGGATGGGGTGAATGAAACATACATCAAAGGGGCTCCATCTGTAAGAAACTGGACTTTGGGGATCTCGTCCCGGGGAACTCTAGGATTCTCTATACGGGGTTGGGGGAGAGAGCCACAATACTGGCTACCATCATCAAGGGGTGGGATCAGATATTCATGAGAGCTGGCAGCCTCGGAAGGACTAAGGGCCTGGGCCACTTCGTTAGTATCGTACCTGGACAGGGTATGTAAGGGATGGAGGGGAGTGGGCAACACCTGAACTCCCCCATAGGGAGTGTGGACGGGTGGGTCAGCAAGGGACACCAAGGGTCCATCAGCCATAACGGGCATAATAGGAAGGGACATACTGGGGGCCATCATGTTAGGGGTGGGGACGAAAGGGACAGATTCGGGAGGGGAAGCGGTAATAAAAGCGGAAGAGGTGGGGATGGGAACTAAGGGCACAGCAAGGGCGGAAGTGGCAGGATCAGGAAGCGAGGGTAGAGCAAGGACGGAAGTGACAGAGGCAGGAAGCGAGGGTAGAGCAAGGGCGGAAGTGGCATGATGGGGCAGGGGAATATAAAGATCCGTCTGCCCTAAAGACGAGGAACACGGAGGTGGGGGCTAGGGGGGTGGAGACTGTTAATACAGGTAATTGGGCGGGGGTCACAGGGACTGGGCTGACCTCCTTCCCTCTGTGCCAAGCGCCATTATAGGGCGGTGGCTGGCATGGGATCTCAGCAATACTTTCAGCATTACAATTACTTTCATGGTAAACATATAATTTCCTTCCCCCAACGTCTATTTCTTCTTCTATCCACTCCACCTGGTGAATGGCTCTAGCAACCCTAAACCAGACCTCCGCTGTCTGTACTAGGCTATAGTCCTGCAATAATCCCTTTTTCTCCTTTAACAGTTGCGCCAGCCCTCTGGCTGTAATCGCCCACTGGAGGACATAGTAATGCCACATAGCTTAGCTAACTTCTTCACCTTCCCTACTGCTCCTTCACCCTCCCTCTTTCTGACTATGTCACAGGCTAACCAGCCCTTAATGGGCTTTACAGGCTTCTGTCCCATCCTCTCTACACAAGTCGTCAAAAGATAGAGACAATCAGAGAAAGGAACGTCTACAGTGCTCGACAGCCACGAGATTTTAATTAACGTGCGACTTCCCGAAACGTAGACTAGTCACTGGGTCCACCCACCCGAGGTGATGGCGGCGGACGGAAGCGAGGTGAGGAGTGCGTGACCAAACACTTCTCTCATAAGAATAGGAAAGTAAAGCAGCAAAACATAGAATTACACCGCACACATTACACGTATTCCAGAGAAAAAGACATATGCACTATAAGATTCAAAATACAGATACAATCAAATCACAAATCCTTCACAATAAATGCAAGCAAAACACAAACCCGTTAACCCCTTAAGGACACATGCCAGAAATATTCCGTCATGATTCCCTTTCCCAGAAGTTGTGTCCTTAAGGGGTTAATATAACCCAAGAATAATGCCACATGTCTCACTGTGCTAAAGCTAACAATAAACCCCGGCCATGCGCTTATGGTGCTGTAGCAGTAAAGATATCTAAAATGATAATTCCCCGGCCACGTGCTTACGGCGCTCTAGCGGTAAAGCTATATAAAATGCAAATTCCCCGGCCACGCGCTTACGGTGCTTACGGCGCTGTAGCGGTAAAGCTATATAAAATGCCTGCGAGACACCCTCCCCTTATGCAAAAGCATTCACACCCAGGAGGCAGATAGTTAATATACAGGTACTGTACAAAGGGACTCCGGGCAAGCTATTTACCTGTCTTTGGTGCCCTCCAGCAGCCGACGTAGACACGGAGACAGGCCAATCACAGGGACAGGATATATAGGCAAGATGCTGCAGCAGTCATTACAGGCTCTCTCGCATCACTGCCGGTCTGCCCCCCGTATCTTCTAGGACGGCTAACCGGGAAGGGTCACAAACCCGGAGCTCCACGTTGGGCGCCAAATGTTGTGGATCAAACCAAGTGTTTGTTTATTTGAGTATCTGCTCCCTTCCAAATTAGTAAAATAAATGCATGCACGCTTCTGAAGTAAATCACACTGAAACACAGGTATCAGGATAATGAAGAACTCCGGAATGTTTTAATCAGGGGGGCGGCATGCCCCTTATAAAGGCAAAAATACATCATAAGCAAAAATGTAGATAACAGAGAGAATACATCTTCAATTGGTTAGGTGTTAAGTGTCTTATCTATTGCACATCCTAAGAAGCCTGATGTCACCATCATCCCAGATGTAGGCACCATATTGTTACACAAGGTAGTTAGTTGGTGGGAGGGGCGTTGCCCTAGCAGCCATTTTGAATAAATATTGAATACAGGTGTAACGGATCACCTGGCACCCCAACTGTGTACTTCCGTTGAAGGATGCTCCTAGCGCTTCCTGAGGGCTCCAAGCACTCCAGCCGACGCCATAACCTTACAAGAGCTTAGCAGTGAATACAGCAAGGGAGTATGCAGAGCATAGCAATCCCTTGTAGCAGATTCCCCCAATAAGAGACGGCACTCCAAATTGAGGGTGAAGTAGAACTGCCTATACTGGCAGATACAATCTCTTTTATTCACAATCCACAAAAATAGTACTGCCCTCAGGGTTTTGAAATACAACCAATCAATACACACAGACACTCCCACACAAAATTCTCTCCTCTGCCTGTGATATGATTACTGAACACAATGGTTAATATAATTATCAAAGGCAGAGAATTACAGTATTATAAAACATATCACAGGGACCCCAAAACATGCAATAACCCCATAAAAACTGGGGGATCTGGGTGAACCACATATCCAAAATTCATCCAGATCCGTTCAGTAGTTTGGAAGATACAGTTTAATGCAGATTCCGCAGTACATACACAGGCTATATGAAAAACAATTACTGTATAATGTGTCCCCTGTTGTATAGTGGAAAACTACTGCACGATGTCTTTGTGCACCAAATACCGGCGAGATGGCACCATGTAGAAAAGTCCAAACAGTGTCTGTGAGTTAAAATGGCCGCCATCCATTCTCAGCATGTGCTTCCTCCATTGTTCTCACCATGTGCCTCTGATACATGAAATGGTGGCCACCCAGTAACTCCACAGTATGTCCCCAGATGGTTCTTAAAGGGCCAGCAGCAGCACAACACAAATCCATAATGCCCAAATCATGTCTTTAAAGGGCAATACATCCCGGGGGCCATAGTCACATGGCAGGAGGCTGGCAATCAGTCTTCTCCAATGCCCAGTGGCGAGGTCGGTTTTGCCACAACAGGTATACACAGTAAATAGACATTTTACTATCACTAATTTACATCCATAACAGTGTGAGGAATTTTTGAGTCTCACAAATTCCTCTGAGCAAAATATTGTTTCGCCTGGAGCAATCCTCCAGGTATGTTAGTTTTAACTCTAATGTTGCCACTCAGGCTTCCAAAATGGGCTGCAACTTATTGCTCCATTTTGTGCTCTTGGCAGTCTGTGCGATACCCCAGCGCATGTATGTCTCTCCTAATATCTTCCCCCATTTCCTTGTTGCTGCCTTGTTGGAAGCTTGTAGCCCATC